ACACACACACACACACACACACACACACACACACACACACACACACCCACACCCACCCACCCACCCACACCAGGAGTGGGATTGCGGGGTCATATGATAAATTTATGCTTAACTTTTTGAGGAACTGCCAGACTGTTCTCCAGAACAACTGCACTCCCTATCCCTTTTACATTTATAATGGCTTCTGTAAATAATATTTCAAGTATCTTACATTTGTTTACAGTCGTATAGCTTTATACTCTGCTGACTTTTCCCACGTACATCACTTCCCTTTGTCCTGGTGACGGAGGGTAAAAGCTAAACTGAACTCCAGCCAGTGCAAAAAGAAGCATCTGGTCCATTTCTAGCTGTGAAATTGAGGATGGCCAGGAACTTTATCCATCCTTCTGGAATGTTCCTGCTCAGCTGGAGCTCATCCTTGTACTGCCTTCAGAAGCCACATACCGAGCATTGCTGGAAATGCACCTTGCTTGGGATCCCTTCTGGATGAGGTCAGATCAAATGCCTAAAAAATGAATTCCCCACCTTGTCACATTTCTATCCACACATGGCACTAGCTTTCGATACCTCATAATGTGTATGTGCTTTCTTTCTCTTTTTTCAAAGAAAATTATATATAATCCAATGTCTTTCGTCCTTTTGTATTAGGGAACTTTTCAAATACACACACACGAGACGATAACATGACAAACTCCTGTAAACTCGGATCCACATTCTAGAATATTTGAGAAGCAACTTACTCTATTTTAAGGCATAAATTCACACCTTATGTCATCTCACCTCTATATACTTCAGTATGCAGCTCTAAAAATTGTGGATGTTGTCTTTAAAAATCACAAAACCATTATTACACCTCACAAAAAACAATGGTTCCTTGGCTTCATTATGTGATAATATCTTCAGGATTTCTTCACCTGTGTACCTGGGTAAGATGGGCATTTATTTTCTCTTCTTGTGCTGCCTTTAGTTTTGCTAATAAACTTTTGCTAACCTCAGAAACTGACTCAGTGCCTTTATTTTTGCATTTTCTGGAAGAAATTACCTGAGTTTGAAATGACCTGTAACTTAAATGTTTGGGAGAATATGCCAGTAAAAGTGATATGGACTTGGTATTTCTTCATGGGATGATTTTAAAATACAGATTATGTTTCTTTAATAAATAGGATTGTTCAACTTTTTTCTTCTCTACCCAATTTTATTAAGTCAGCGCTTTCTAGGAGCTTGTATATTTAAGTTATCAGATTTATATTGGCACAAAAGTATTAATATGCTCTTAATAAAATTTTAAAATCAGGAACATTTACATTTAAGTCCTATTTTTTTTTTTTTTTGTCTGCCTGAGCTGTCCGTTACTGAGAGAAGCATGTGAAAATCTTCCATTATGGTAATATCAGTTTCTCCAGGTAAATATGGAAATTTTTTGGAATACACCTTGAAGCTATGTTGCTACTTGCATAGAGGTTTGTAAATTACTCTATCTTCTGGTGCAATAAACTTTTCGTGGTGATGTTCTTATTTCTGCTTTTACCTTGAAATCTGTTTTGTATGACGTTTAAAAAATAAGGCAGCAGATTTTTTGGTTATTTGAATGGTGTCTCTTTTGCTATTGCTTTGCTTTTCTGTCTGTTTGTATTTTACCTCTCTCTCTTATAATCAATATATACACAGGTTTTAAAAACTATAGCCTAACAATTTAACAGTCTTTTAGTAGAAACTTAAAATTTGTGCTATATGTCCTGCCTATAATTTCTCTTCTTGCCTTCATTTAGGACTGTTACTACTCTTTTCACATTCCATTTTCCCCTCTACTACTCTGAAGGGAACGTGTACTATTTCTATTCTTTTATATACTACTATAACAATTTTAACAGTTAAACATAACTTACGCAAATCAACATTACCTTTATTCCTTTGCCCGAACATTTGCCAGAACGTCTCTCCATTTGTGTGTGTGTTTTTAGGACAATGTCTAGAGATTTTAAGTGGTTGACTTTTATAATTTTCACCAGTTATGGTGGTTTCACCGGGGAAATGGTTCACAGATATGCTCATATTACTGTTCTAGAAGTACTTCCCCGGTGTCACCTAAAACTGTGTGAAAATTCTTCAGGCTTTTATTACCGGTTTGGAATCAGAACGTGCATAGTTTTTACCCCTTACTCCCTGGCACAGCAGTCTGGTGAGGGATATCTAGACTGAGGCCAGATTTAAATGTATTTGTCCACGGGAAATAGTCCAGCTAGGGGACTTCTGTTTCCAGTAATCAGGTGGTCTAGGTTGCCAGGGAGACTCTCAGTAGAAAAAAAAAAACAAAAAACTAAAATGTTTAAGAAGGTATTTTTTAAAATACTGTCAATCACGTCAGTAACTGGAAACTTAGTAAGGAACACTTAGAAATCAAAGACAAGTCAAAAGGGGGAACCCAGAGAAGTCATTGTGCATTGAAGGCAGCTTTCTCCTTAGGGGCATTTGGTGAACGCATAAATTTTGGCTTTAGCCAAAGCATCCCAGTGCCTAAGAAATACCAGAAAGTCTAGGGCTCATCTGAGGTATAGCATCTGACAGGACACCACCCCTACATGAGTCTGGAACCCCAAAAGGCTAAACAATCTAAGCATCAACAAAGAATACTCCCTCTTTGCACACTAGAGGGAAAACTGCTTGTTTCAAAACTTAGTGCAGAGTAGGATGAGGGCAATTTCTCTGATAATGTTAAACGATAGTCAAGCCCTCATGTGAGTTTGCAACCCAACTTTATTTCATCTGAGTGGTCAAAAACTCACATGTCTCGAACTTAGAGTGATCCCAGGCCTGTACTTCTAGCATCTTCAGAATCAAATATAAGTCATCCTTGAAAGGACCTATTTTCACCCCCAAAGAATTCCTAGAAATAAAGTCTGAGACAGTTAAGCTGACAGTAAGAAGGACAGAGACAGAGTTAGACACCATATTTCGATCTACCAAGATTTCAGATATTGGACTTGTTAGCACACAACAGAAAGGAAGTGCATTTAAGATGTTGGCAGAAATTTAAAAAGCTCTGAGAAGTGAAAAAAGCATGTGATTATAAAAAATGACCAAGTACACTGATAACTAAATGAAAATCCTAGAGGGGCGCCTGGGTGGCTCGGTTGGTTAAGTGTCCGACTCTTGGTTTCAGCTCAGGTTATGATCTCAGGGTCATGACCTGGGTCAAGCCCCAGGTCAGGCTTAGTGCAGAGTCTGCTTGAGATTCTCTCCCTCCTGCTCATGTTCTCTAAAATAAAATCTTAAAAAAAATCCTAGAAATGAAAAATGTAATAATCAAAATACAAAATTCATTGGGTACATAGGTTTAACAGTATATTAGATACAGTAGAAGAGCGAATTTAGGGAGCTGGAAGACAGATTTGAGGAGTTATACATAACAGAAATTGAGGAAACATGAGATGCTGAAATGCTGCAGAGCAGATCTAACATGGCTAGATGAAGTTCAGGAGGAAAAGAGAGAATGGGGAGAAGGCAGTATGAGAAGAGTTAATGACTGAGAATTTTCTAAAACTGATAAGATGCCCTGCCCCCTCTCCAAAATCCATTATTTTCAGGGATTCCCATGAATTCCAATCAGGAAAAAGAAAAATACATCATTATAATTAGATACACTACAGCAAAAGAACACAAAGCAAACAAAAACGCAGAACACCAAAGACAAGGAGAAGATCTTAAAAACAACTAGAGAGAAAAAAATGCCTTCAGTAAGTCATTGAAGTGACAATTAGACACCTCAGTACCTGGAATCTCAACAGTAGTAATGGAAGACAGATTAGAAAAAGGTGCTGAGATAAACTGTCAACTTAGAATATCCAACAAAAATACACTTCACAAATAAGGGCAAAATAAAGAAGTGATTGTCACATAAAAGCTCAGACTTTTTTTTTTTTTTTTTTTTTTTACCAATAGACCCTCACTAAATGAAGTTCTGATGGATATGCTTCAAACTAAAGGAGAACATTCCTAGATGAACAAAAACTGAAAGAATTTGTTGCTAGCAGTCCCTGTGTTATAAGAAATACTAAAGCAAGTTCTTCAG